ATAAAAACATTTTTTTTCAAAAACCAGGAATTTATCTTCTCTCAATTTTAGAGAACAGAAGTCTGAAATCAAGGTGTCAGCAGGACACATTCTCAAAAAGCTCCAGAGGAAAATCAATCATTGCCTCTTCCAGACCCTGCTGGCTCCTGGTGTTCTTGGTTTGTGAAAACATAACCCCAATCTCTACCTACATCTTCACATGGCCTTTTTCTCTGTGCATCCCATTCCCCCTTTCCTTTCTCTCATAAAGAAACCAAGCATTGGATTTAGGGCCCACAATAAATCCAGAATAAGACCATCTTGATATTCTTAACTATATCTGCAAAGACACTATTTACAAATGAGATCACATTCTGAGGTTCTGGCTGGATATTGGGACACATCGTAGTTCTAATAAAATGTTGAAAGCTAATTAAGGAGCTGTTTTAAGGATTTTAAAACTGAATTCAGGATGAGAAGGAAAGAGTACTAAGATCATGAAGAAGGCATGGAAAATAGATGTACATTTGCCCTGTTCTTGTCATCACTATTCACTTATCTATAAGAAAACTGAGACTTAAGAAGGTTTGTCAGTGCCCAAGATCAGCCAGTGGCAAAGTTATACTAAAATAAAACTACTGACTTAAAAGTCAGTGTTCTTTGCACTATGTGTTTTAATAATATTTACTCATCTCAACACTTTTACTGGGAATTATTAGTAAAAATATAAATAAACAACATTGAACATTGCTGACACCTTAATACTTAAGTTGTTTTAATTGGTCAGATTAGTTAAGAACCATTTCAGTGGCTGATTTCCATTTTCATCCCTAATAGCATAATTGGCATAATGCTAACCTTTCACCTGAGAACAAAATAAAAGCCGGATAAAGTTTAAAGAAAACATTTTGGAAGCTTTGAAGTGTATAGCTGATGTTGGTAAGGAAAGTATTGATAGTAAGAAAGAAGGCTATTTCATGGTGACAAAAAGTGCCAATTTGGAATACATAAAAAACATACTATATTTATAATCATCTAATAATATATCTTTAATATATATGTTAAATAGAATTAAGAGGTCACTTAGGCAAATCCATATTTATAGTTAGAATATTTTAACTGCCTCTGTCTCTCATGGATGTCATACACAGATAAAAAAATCAATAAGGGCATAGGAAATTTGAGCAATATTAAGAAAGTTAATATAATTGATATATAGAGCCATTTACCTAATTATTGAAAAAGACACTTAAAAAATGAATATAGGATATTACCAAAATTGACCATATGCTGGGAGCACAGAGCAGGTCTACACAAATTTCAAAGGATTGAATTCATTTAGAATATGTCCTTTAATCAGAGTAGAATCAGCACAAAAATATAAATATAAAAATCTCCCCAATATTCTAAGTTAACCCTGAGTAAAAGAGAAATCACAGTAAGAATTGTATATAATAAAGAGGTAATATGTAAACTGACCCTCATGCCCTCACATCACGAGATAGCCACCCCTACATCATCACATGATGACTACCACAAGATGGCCACCTGCATATTGTCACAAGATGGCCAGCATGGTTGGGCAGATGGGGGTGATTAGGCTAGCAAGGGAGGGCAGTTGGGGGGGAGCAGGTCTGGAAGGGAGGGCAGTTGGGGGTGATTGGGTCAATAGGGGAGCAGTTAAGTGTTCATCATGCCAGTAGGGGAGCAGTTAGGTGTCTATCAGGCCAGCAGGGGAGCAGTTAGGGGAATATCAGGCTGGCAGGCAGAGTGGTTAGGGGAAATCAGGCAGGCAAGCAGGTGAGTAGTTAGGAGCCAGCAGTCCCAGACTGTGAGAAGGATGTCTGACTGCTAGTTTAAGCCCAATCCCTGCAGATTGGGACTAAACCAGCAGTCGTACATCCCTCAAGGGTTGCCAGATTGGAGAAGGTGCAGGCTGGGCTGAGAAGCACTCTTCCCCCATCCTGTGCACAAATTTGTGCACTGGGCCTCTAGTAAATAAATAATGATGAAAATACCACATATTAAAACTTCTAGGATATAAAAAAAAGATGACTTGCAGAATATAGCAAAAGCAATTTGTAGTGGCACATTGAGAGCCTTAAATGCATATATTAGAAAAACAGAAATATTGAAAAATATAATAACCTATTCTTTGATGTTAACAAGCTAGGGGGGGGAATGCAAATTAAATCCAAAGGGAGTAGGATGAAGATAATTTTAAAATGGTAGAAAGTAACTGTACATAAAGAAAATCACCAAACCCAACACTCATTCAACAAAAGCAAATAAATGTTGAAATATTTCTAACAAAACTGATCAACAGACAAGAAAAGAAATATACAATGTCAGGAATGAAAAACATCTTCCAGACAAAAATAAAATTAGAGTATATCATGAACAACTTTATATATGTCAAGACACTTTAAAATGTAGATAAATAGGCAAACTCATTGAAAAATAACATATTCAAACTGACCCAAGAATAAATAGAAAATTTGAACAGTGTTCTATTAAAGAAATTAAAATTCTAGTAAAGATATTTCCATATGATAAATTCCAGGTCCAGATGGATACATCAGTTAATTCTTCCTAATACTTAAGAAATAATAGCAATTTACCTCAAACTATAATAAATCAGAAATAGAGAGAAGGTCTCTCAACTTGTTTAAGGCTGTCCGCATATATTTTGATACTAAACTGGACAAGAATGTTACAAAAAAAATTATGGAATGATGTAGCTCATAAACAAGGACACACACACACACACACACACACACACAAATATCTAAACTAGGTATGAGGGCAGATGAAAGAAGCATGTGGGACAAGGCTATTAAAATTATTTTCTTCATATTTCCCTCATTTCACTCTTCAGAGGGAGAGCAGCCTTGTGCTTGAGGTAGAAAAAAAAGTGTTTATTGGAAAGAAGATTGCACAGTAGGAGAAGTACCCTTCTGAAGTCACATATAATTATTAAATCCCACCAGGGAAGTACTAAAAATTCATCATAGTTTTCTCTATTGGCAATCTTTCATGCCATGCCTGTGTGGTAACTAACTGAAATGAAAGAAGCAGAAGCATGAGTCACACTGCAAGATTCAGTCCCTGATCTTCCATATGTTGGCAAGGTGCTGTTGGGTAAGTTGCTTTGTCTCTCTGATCCTTAGTGCTCTCATAGAAACCAATGGGTCAATAGTATTTATCTCAAGGTATTTAGGTGGATTAAATGAGATAATAGGTGTGAAAATGGCTGGCATGTAAATTCTGGCAAGTAAAGTTTTTTATGTGCACATAGCACATTTCATAGACAGAAATTTTCCCAAAGCTGAAGATACTGTCTGAATTAGTTATTTACATGATTTATGACACTCAAAATCACTACCACTTTACATTACAGATATTTAATAGATTACATAATAAATTAATATTATCCATAGTAAGAGTAACAAATAAATGACTCTAACAGATTACCATTTATTGTTGCAGCTACTTGCAATGTCCTGGTGTGTAGATTAGATGCATATTAATTGGATTTTATATGGTGCCTCTTACAAAGTCAGAGAGATGATGAATAGCCTATTTGGAGGAGGAGGGGACGGCAGTGTCCAATAATCAATCTAAACACTCAAGGTACTCTATAACAAATCAGAGGAAAAATTTTTTTGCAGAATTCCCTGAATAAAAGTACTCTAGGGTGGATCAGAGTAAAGTGAGTCATGCCAGTGGCTTTGACTCCCAAGACAGCACAACAGGGATGAAGAGACTGAGAATCAGTAACCAAATCTAGGCTTACATTTCTTCAGGTGACCTGGTCTTTAAAATATCCTTGCAAAGAAATGTCCTTGCCTGGAAGGCACCTTCCTTGCATGCCTGCATGAAAAACTGTTACTGGTACTTTAAAATCACACATTCATTCCATCAAAAATGTTTATGAACCCCTTAATAGGCATGAAGTGCTGTGCTAGGCACCAGGGTTCTGATGGTGAGCAGCATCAGACTATGACTTCAACCCTATTTGTCAACTTCTGCATCAACATCCCTATAAACTTGCCCTGGTTGCTCTCTTCCTAGTACTCAAAGCTCTAAATTGTCCACATGGTATTAGAGAAGAATCTGTGTGTTTACATGGCTATCCTCCTTTCCAACCCCCCACCTGGCAGACAGCTCCATAAGAGGCAGGCCTGTGTTAATTCATCTTTTATTTCCCAGTGCACACCTCGAAGTCTGACACATAGTGGAGCTCAATAAATGTTTATAAAATACATCATTTATTATTTATGAAGCCTTGGTACAGTCAAGTCTGTTAAATGATTCTGCTGATAAATAGGAGAGAAATGAAAACAATTACACTCAGGAAAATTATACAGTTTTGAGATATTCTTTGTGTATTTTTTCTGTTTTGTTAGATTTTATTAGCAGCCCTAGCAGCTACTTTAAAACTGCCCTCAAAGCTAACATCATTCACTTTTAAAGAGATGCAAAGTATAAATACAGGTGAAATTATGCCTGATTAGCTTTTTTAGGTTGAAAATCAGGAGACTTTCTTTTAAAATAATGAAATAAGCTTCCATTTAATTGGAAATACTTAGCATAAGATTTGCTAAGTTTTTATACTAATTAACAACATTCATCTAGAAATGGAAAGTGGTAGAAGGCATTCATAGAATTTGACATAACACCAAAGTCTGGCACATCCTTCAAACAGAGATAACATTGTTTATTTAAAAACCCTTAGAATAGATATAAATGTTTTCTCAAGTTAATAAAAAAATGTGGTGACCTGTCCTTGAAAATGAAAGAAGAAAGCCTATCATTATGTGTGCCCCCAGAAGAGAAAAAGCCATTCTTCAAATAGCACTAAGCAGACTTGGGAGGCTTCTGCAGAAACACTATGAAGGGAACTTAGGAGATAAAGAGATGCAGTTTAAATGCAGAAACAATCAAAATGGTTAGCCTTTAACCATCATCTAAAAACCACAAACAAAAGCACTAAAAAGTGAAAGTATGAAAGTACCTACTTGGTCTGATGTTTAGATCCTTTCAGGTGGGCGTGATACTGTTCTATTGAGTTTAGAGAGACACTGCAGATGGTACATCTGTAATTACGCCTCAGACCTGTGGACAACAGACAGACCACATTAGCTGCTTCCTTGTCTTCAACCACCTTAATGAATTCTAGAATCTCCCAAGGTACAGGGGCAGAATATCTTAGCGGTTATCTGGTCCATCCCACCAAGAACATTTTGATTCCTCCTTCCTGAGCCCAGTCAACAAGTCTCTTAGCAGAAGGATAACTGTGAATATGGTAGAAGATGCCTGCTCCATTTATGGGTGGCTGACATTATTAAAACATATTTTTTATATAAAATGGTTCTGGAAATTTTGTAACATAAGAGATGGAGATAGAGATGATAAGCTGTCTTATCTGCATGAAATTTGAGACTCCAGAGAATACCTGTCTCAATTCCTTCTCCACAGTTAGTCCAATAGCAGAGTCAGAAATCAACTTACACATCATTCACTTGGGTTCTTCTTATATTCAGAGGGATAATATATTAATTGATTTCACAAGAAAGCTTACTTCCCACGAGAGTTTAAAAGAAAATTATCTGTTTATTTCCTTATTTATTCATTTAATTAGTTCATTAATAGAGGATCAATTTTGGACCAGGCACTGGGGAATTCTAAGATGAATGAGATGCTCTCTGTTTCCAAAGAGGTTATTAAAATCCTCATTCCTTTGTAATATTGACTCGTCTAGAGTCAACATGTTAGAAAGCAGCTTCAACAAAACAACTTTAAACATTTGCCACAGCTCAGAGACCCACAATTGAACACATTCCTTCTGATGGTGTGTCCCAGCAGAGCAGAGAGAAAAGGAAACTTAAGAGTTAAGATCTGAAACGTCAGATTTAAATTCTGGCTCCAATCATTCCTGGTTGTATGATCTAGTGGAAGTCATATAATTTCTTCTTAGCTTCAGTTTCCTTCAATTGCAAGATGAAGACAAGACCATCCATATCACAAGGTTGTTATAAGAATTAACTGAATAAGATATATTAAAATCATTGTTAGCACATTGTTAACTGGCTTGGCTCAGTAACTAGAGCATTGGCCTATAGACTGAAGGGTCCTGGGTTTGATTCTGATCAAGGGCACACATTGTTCGAAGAACTTTATGACCTGATATCTAGGTACAATTATACAAATTATTTGACTTCTCTGTACTTCTGTTTTCTTATATGATTGTGGGAGGACTAAGAAAAACATGTGTGAAAGAATGACTGACACATAACAAGTGATCAATATAAATTAGCTATTATTATGATTTCAAAGAGGTGTTAAAATGGAACTATTTCTGTCCCAATGTCCAGATGAAGCTCTTAGTTGAAGTGCTAAGACATAGATGCTAACTTCACCCACATTACTAAAGTGAATATGAGGGCCAGAATTCAGGACATCCAAAGGAAGTGATCAAGAACCAGTTTCCAGTTCCAAGCTGATCATTCACCACCAGTCTAAAAAAAGAGATAGAAAGAAAGAAATAGAGAGTTCTAAAAGGAACTATACAAGTACTATGAGGTTTACTTATCCTTCTCCAGGTGAGCTGTGGGAAGAGTTCTTCTCTCTCACCTGAAACTTATGGGAAAATAAATAGCTAATCACAATGGCATCGAAACCACAGATGTCTGGGACCTTTTTGGGAAGTACTAATCTAAGGGACTCAACTTTACAGGTACAGACTGATGATTCAGATGAAATAGACAGCTATTGACTCTATTCCCTAGGCTTACACAATGACTCCCAAACTTCCTTGTGTGGATACAGCCTCCAGTTATGGTGCTAAAATGTAGATTCTCAGGCACAACTTCTGGCTAAAATGTAGATTCTCAGGCAAAACTTCTGGAGATTCTGATTCTATAAATTTTGGATATGGCCTGGGAATATATAAGAAGTTTCAGACTAGTAACTCCAAACCTCAACATACACACACACTTTAACAAGTACTGCCCCCAGAGACTCATATGCCTTTTGGTAAGCTGAATTTGTCAAAACAATAGCTCTTAAAATGTTATTCTATAAAAGAGAGCTGTGCTTAAGTCACTTTTGAATTTCACAGGTATGCATGATTAAGAAAGTTACCACAGTCCCCAAACCCAGAGACTGTAAGTTATCACAACCAGCATGCATATGAGTTGTTTAAATCCTCATCTCCCCTTTTGTGCATGAAATCAGAATATGAAAGCCAGCTTCAGACTTTCTCACTCTACAGATCTCCATCAATCCTCTCATAATAAATGGTAACTATATTTTATACAAGTCCCCTTCTGACTACAGACTAATCAAAGGTTTCTTCATAACAAATGGAGGTCCAGTTTGGCAGCAGGCATAAATATTTATGTTTAAAAACAGGCACTTTTAAGACCACCAACAAATCTAAAAAATATTCTGATCTCTTACTTTCCATTAAAGTTTTCATGCTCTGCAGCCAAACAGAGGCGTGGGCAGGAAATATTTGGCACTTTATTGCAATGCAAACTACAGGGAGTATAAACTAGAAAGGCCGTGCATATAAACAAGAACAAAGGCAGCAAAGGAGCAGAGGAGTCCTCCCCCACACATGACACAGTGTCCTTGGTGGGAACTTAGGGCTTTATTAATGCTCAGTTGAAAGCCAAATACTTTGGAATTATACAGCTCTTTCTTCCTCAGAGAACCAGAGTCTTATTAAACAAAAATGCTAACTTTTCTACTTAATTCATTTTCAGTGCAATACCATGTTAAGAGTATCCATAAAACCTCTGCAGACCTAAAGCTTATTTCTGTAGAATTGTCAATATGTGTTAGAAAATATAGTCCCTGCCTGCAAGGGACTGACAGTCCAGTTCGAGAGGAAATATAGGAATACAAATATCAATAGTGTTAGGTAGATCATAACAAGTACCACAGTCTGGATAGTAGAGTGTCCCAGAAACTAGGGGAAAAATTGTTTCTAACACAGAGTTGGAGAAAGCTTCCTGAAGATGCATCACTTTTGTATTTATATTCCCGAGTACAGTATGTATGGTCCTGGAAGGTTGAGCAGTATGTGACTATTCTATCTTTTCAAGTCTAGCAAAGTTAGACTTCAGATGTCCCTGAAACTTTAGATGTATCCATTCTGCATTAGAGAAACATCATTATGACTTTATTACCATGCCAGTTATTTTGCTGAATGCCAAGAATGTAGGAGAGAATAAAAGAGGCAGAATAAAATTATTTCTGGAGCGAGTTAGGAAGGAATACAAGAAACAAGTAAAGAAAGAAAAACATAATTAAAGATTGTGTAAGTGTCATACAGAATTTAAACAGAATAATGAGAAAAAATCAGAGAAGAAGGTTGATTTTTGGTAGCTCGGTCAAGAGTTCTCTGAGACGTATGATATGAAACCAAGGGAATGAGAATTAAGCTGTGATTGAAGAACTAGTTTAAGAGTTGTCCAGGAAAGGTAAACAGAAAACATAGAGAGGTAGAAGTAGAAATCAGCTGTGACTGTTCAAGGAACAAAATGTGGTGAAAAAAAGAAACTAAACCAACAAAACTGTCAAGTCAGAATTCTATATCCAGCCAAAACATCCTTCAAAATGGAAAGTAGAATAAGAATATTTTCAATAAAAAGGAAAGAGAACAACCATAGCTGGTTTGGCTCAGTGGATAGTGTCAACCTGTGGACTTAAGGGTCCTAAGTTCAATTCTGGTCAAGAGCACATACGTGTGTTATGGGCTTGATCCCCATTGAGGGAGGTTCAGGAGGCAACCAATCAATGATTCTCTCTCATCATTGATGTTTCTATCTCTCATTTCCTCTCCCTTCCTCTCTGAAATTAATAAATATATTTTAAAAATTAAAAAACACACACAATTAAGAGAACAGTTTTCCATCAGACCCATATCACAGAAAGGCTTATAAAGTCCTTTAGATGGGAGGCAAAAAAAACACACAAGACTTAAATTCCTATATACAGGAAAAGATAAAGAACACCATAAATGATCAATATGTGGATATCTATATTTTTATTCTTCTAAATTTATTTGAAGAAAGTGAACAATTTAAACTGTAACATTATATTGTGAATACATGACAACAATAACATAAGAATGAATAGGAGTAGAACAACACTATTGATTGATCATTATCTTTTTCATAAAATGGTAAAGAGTAACTCTAAATAGACACTGGTCATTTCAGGATGCATACTCTATTCCACTAGAAACAAATACAAGGATATAAAGCTATGGAGCCTATAGAGAAAATTTTTAAATAGGAAGGTAAAATTATTTTGATTAACTCAGAAAAAAGCAAAAAAGGAGCTCTAGACCCAGAGGCTATCATTGAAGAATTCTGTCAAACATTAAAGGATTGCATACTATCAACTTATGCAAATTCTTTCAGTGAAGAGATGAGAAAGAAATACTTCCATACTTATTTTTGAGCCAGTATAACACTAACAAAAAGAATTAACAGACTCCAAAAGTAAATACAATTATAAACCAATATTTATCATAAGCATGACATAAAAATCCTTTAAAATCTAGCAAATCATCCCTATCTGGTTTGGCTCAGTGGATACAGTGGCAGCCTGTAGAATAAAGGATTCTGGGTTTGATTCTGGGTTACTGGCTTGATCCCCAGTAGGGGGTGTGCGGGAGGCAATAGACTAGTGATTCTCTCTCATCATTGATGTTGGTATCTCTCCCTCTTCCTTCCTCTCTGAAATCAGTAAAAATATATTTTTTAAAATTAGCAAATTAGAAACACAAGATAGATACAGACATGTATGTATATATGAATATACACATTTACACATTCATTATGATATATGTATACAAATATCATAATCAAGTTTATTTGTTCCAAGAGAGAAGATTGGTTTAACAGTTAAAACTCAAATTATATAATTCACTATATTAACAGACAAAATGAGAAAATAATATAATTTTAATAGCTGCAGAAAAGATCATTTGACAGATTTCAACATCCATTCATGATCAAAATTCTCAACAAACTGGAAAAGAACTTTCTTATTTTAATAAAAAGCACCCATGAAAAACTTATAGCTAATGCTATATTAAA